CAGAGCTATTTCTCAGTGTATTTGTTTTCAGTCACTGGACACCTTTTTCCATTAAATATTTTCTTTATCATTAGAAAAGTATCTTTGCTCTGACTCTAAATCTGAACAAATTTTGTAAATTTCAATAAACACCGAGAACCAATCATTAATCAATATTAAATAATTGCTCTTCTGCATTCACGGACCTTTTCAACAGTAGATTAGCAGATGTTTGAGTTTGACGAGGGCAATAGCCCTAGATTACAAGAGAAAGAGGCAGGAAAAAGAATACAAAATGACTGAGTCATGAGAGTAAGAAGTGCAAATTTAGACTCTTATTTCAGCGGGTTACCTGATGACTGTATTTGCAATTCACTGAAACCTGATAAAGAGAATTATGCAATAAAACCAGGGAGAAATGTTCTCAAACCTTACCAATTAGATGACTAAGGCAATCCATGTACTCAATAGGCTAATTATTTCCTGATTGATAGTCACTGAAGGGCCATTAGAAATGTCAAGTGTTCTTTACTTGTGCAACAAAACTCTCTCAAAAAGAAACAAAAACCAATCCAAAAAATACTTCTTTAGGGCTACACTTGATGACCTTTATGAACACAACTCTGAAATTTGATGACCAACATTACAAAATTCCTTGGACTAGTGAGAACCATTTTTCTTTCATAGAATCATACATACAAATCTGTGACAATCTAAAGCTTTACTATGGTTCAAAAGCAAAAACATAGCCCTGGCTACTCCAAGTTTTAAAATTGTTTATTTTTTTAACTTATTACTGTCAATATAAAAAGTGCTATGTAAGGAATGAAATAAAAATATCAATCAAATATTTACAAGGAGTATCTCCTTTAGCAAAGGAAAAAAAAAGGAAAGACTTTAAAAAATCTATTTTCAAAAAAAAGTTATAAATTAGCTGTACAGGAAGTGCATACTTATGGAATATCACGGGCAAGAGGAAGAAAAGAAAAGAGATTGACTTTACAGAGAGATTTAAAGAGTATAAAAAGAAATGATAGAAAGTCAGGATGGGGCTCTGGTGTTGCACACCACAGGTAGCCGTGGATGAGCAGTACCAGAGGACAGGCCATATGCACACCAGGGATGGCCATGAGGGTGGAGTGAAAATACGCTAAAGGTTTATAAATGGGTAAAGAATGTGATTTATGCATCGAATTAGTATAAGTGGATGACAGGATGAACGATGTGGCTATCGAGACACAAGAGGGAAAGCAGTTGGGAGATGGGGCAACTGGAGGAGCAGGGCACAGACCCACAAGGCCAGGGCATGGGTGACGATTTGGAAAAGTGTGACAGCCATTTTTCCATGAATTGGAGGGAAGTGATGTTAAATGCATGACTGGGGACTGACAGAAAAAGAAGAGGCAGGCAACTCGCCACTTTCAAGTCCCCAAACTGTAGCACAAAATACTTGGAGGCATAGTAGGGGAAGAAAGGTGGGGGCAATGGTGAAGATGAGGACTATTTTTTTAACCCATTAAATATTGGTGTTGGCAACCTAAGTACCTGAACAATAGGCTACGAAAAGATGTCTGCACTTTGGAGAAAGACAGGCCTAGAGAAAGCCGAGACATCTAAGCACGGGTGAGCTGAAGCTACAGTGGGATGTTATATTATGGCTTGCCAGTACCATCTCTGTTTGCCCTCTTGTGGGGAAATTTTTCCACTGTGGTTAGGGTTGGCCATGCCACTTTCCAATGAAAAGTGAGGGGATGTCACAAAAAATTAGCTTTAAGCACTCACAGAGTTATGACCATCTTTTCCCCTCTGTCATGTAATCAGCAATGTACAGCTGGTAGCTGCTTCCATAGCCTGAGCCAGGTGTTAAGATCATGGAAATAAAAACTTCAGATAAGGAAGGAGAGTGAAGGGTACTTAGTTGTTACAAAGGCAATGTGGCTTTGGAAGTTGTTTAATGTTGTGGTATAAATTTGCCTACTCTGACTGATAAACATGGGAATGAACGTAATTCCTCAAAAATCGGGAGTAAAGAACGATCACAAGTCAGAGCTACATAGAATTTAATCAGATAATTCTGAATTTGTCATTTCATCAAAGAAAATAATAAACAGATTAGTTGATCTTGCTGTTACTTTGAGTATAATTTATTTTTCCTATCACTTTTTCAGCATGAGAAACTTGCATTTAAAGAAAAAAACTCACTTCCTTAGACAAGTATTCTGGCTACTTTTGGAAATGCTAGCTCTATGAAATATTCTTTAATAAATAGTAACCATTTTATATATGTTTAATATATTTTTGAGTATTATTTTTGCCTATAAATTTTTCTTTTATTGCTGTAAAGTTTTCTCTGCATAAATTCACCAATCTCTTTTCAGTTGATTTTTCATATACTTTGAATAGATTTATCTCATATAATTGGGTTATTTTATTGAGATGATTTAGTAAAGTCAGTATTATAATTTAATGTGTATCTTTTATAAGTGGATAAGTTCATAAATCAAAACACTTCCATGCCTTAAGCAGAAGAATTATGTTTTACTACTAACAAATGCCTGATCTTTGATTTGAGAGTCTTATCCCCATCTTTTTCTGCCAAGTGTTTGTTCTAGAAAATGAGAGATTTATTTTGTTATCAGTATTTTACTTCTGATCAGCATGTGGAAGCAATCAGTAGTAAAAAGGACAAGTTGTTTTAAGAAAACACATATTTGTCAGCTCAGATGCCTCAGTTTTATATGATATAATGGGAAAGAAAAGAAGAAATGGATGTAGCTTTCTTGGGTTGCATAGAGAATTCTGTGGAATTTCAAGTTCAAGGATAGAATTTGGCTTGAAATACCTGGTGAATGTGCTGGAATCCTTCTTTCCTCATCCTTTATGACTTTTTTCCTGGGTATTGGCCTCCATGAATTAGGAAAACACTTGTCGCTTTCCTCCTTGTGCTTTAGGATATCTATAATAACTTTATAGACTTTACTATCCCTTCTGCTCTTCTGGTTTTTCTCTACATTCAGATTATTTTATCACTGTTGTAAATTTGGCATATTTATTTTATGTAATTCTGTTCCACAGCCCAATCCAAACTTTATTCCCATTTGTCTCAAAGTACAAAACCTCGATGACCATGACTATTCACATTCTAGTCTTTAAACTGAAGGATGTAGGTCTGTATTCACAACACACTTCCCTAATACAGATAACGCACATGCGTAATTGCCTGACCCAAGCTTACAGCTCTAACTGCGCGCACATACCTACTTTTAGATGATGTGCATCTGTAAAACAAGGCTTTTTGAACTTTAAAAAGGAGTCCAAATAACCTAAATAGCCATTGTGATTTTTAAAAAATAGTCTAGGAGTACAAATATTCAGAGCAAGCAAAAATGATCCTCTCACCCTTCAAATCAAATTCATTTTTTTCTTCTATCTTCTCTCTATTTTCTTGTCATTAAAAAGCTACTTGCATTTCTTTATGGCAAGAGTGGCTGGGAAGGGCATCATCTGTGTGCCATAATCTGGAAGCAGAGATTACTCTCACCTCCTGTACTACCTCTCATTCCCTGAAAATGAAGCAATGAGTCTTCAATTTAGAAAAGACAAATGCTTTTCATGCAGCCTTTCATATCTAAACTAATAAAATGGCATACTTCACCTCCTGTTCTATATACCAAAGTAATGAGTAAGATAACTATCCCTGGCTTTTGGAATGTAGTGGCACAAACTTGGAAATATCAAAGGAGCATAGTGTCAAAGAATATTTAGTCATTCAGCAGATATTTTACTCAGGTTCTACAACGTATCAGACCAGGTGTGAGGGAACAAAGATGACAGACGTGTTCAGCTTTATGTAGGACACAGGGTCCTCAGGGAGGGGCTTGATGCATTTATCAGTGACATTCAGGTAAAGAACAGACAATGTATGTGCCGTGGAACTGTACCATTATCCCTTTCAGATCCACACAGGAATAAGCATCACCTCAGATTCTTGGAGGAGCTTATACACCCCCAGTGATTGCTATCATGTGTAACACAGCCTTTCTCTTCTGTTCTACTTGTTCACTGTTCGGTATTCTTTATTTTCATCAGTCATGACTCAAAGATTATCTTCTAGTTAAGACATTACCATCAGTAGGATGAAATCCTTCCTTTCCTCACTGTTATCACTTGTATAAAATGGAAGTCAATCAACCTGTACTAGCTCTTTTGATCTAGATTAAAGATCTATCCATCAATTGCATAAAACTCCCATTAAAGTAAAAATCTGAGGACCAGTGGTTTCTTTGGTACCAGGAGTCAAACTCAGGACCTTGTGCTTTCCAGGCAGGTGCTTGTGCCATTGAGCTACATCTGCTGCCCAGACCAGTAGTTTTATATTTTAAAACGCCAACATAGGAAAACCCCACTGGCTAATAATAAGCTGGTCGTTTGCAAAAGCTGTCCCACGAGGCCAATCAGAGGCCATTATTTCAGTGTGAAGACTGTTAAAAAGATTAATTAGTATCAATAACACTTACCTGTATATGCAGAGGGAAGGTTACCCAGCCATAATAAACCCAGAATCACACAGCTACTAGGTAAAACAATGCACTGCTCGGAATTTATGAGAATAAAGTCTGTCAGCGATAATGCTCTTCCTGGGGCCTTCTTGATTCATTTGGCCTACTGTGCTGTGCACCCACAGGTAAATCAAGTCATCTGTGAAGTTACAGGCTAAGGATACACACCGGAAAAGTTCACCTCTCAACAAGGCTATAGGATACAAGGCTTCCAGTGCTTTTATTACCACTGCGTTCCTTTGAAGAGCCACAGGATTCTTTCAAAATGCAAAATCTGGCATATAACTAGGGATTACTTCAAAGGTATTGGAAAAATGAGAGGAAACATTTACCATTATACAGAAAGATGGTTCAAGCATGAATCAATGTGGCAGACACATAATTAAACGGACACGGGGTTAGACAAGAGAGGCAACCCCAGAACAACAACCATGAGGAAAACAACAAAGATCATCGCTTAACCTGTTTTGTCAGAGCTGGTATTGATGGTATTGGTAGTGATGGAGGTGAAGGCAGTCTTTGCGCTGTCCTTGGCAGTTACAGATTTCTGCTTATTTTTCATGGCTTCCAATGCTTTGAGCTTCTTGGCATGTTTCGTGCCTTTGTAGTGGGCCGCAGCCTGGCTCTACAAAGGAGAACAAAATGAACCATGCAATCAGGCTCATTTCTAAACTGGCATTCTCTGTATTGCTGCAAATACAGACTTCCTTTCAATAACAGGTACCATTCAAGCTAATGCTGGTTGTGGCTAAACAGTAAGTTTCTATTTAGAATGATGCTGGAAGGCTATGCGAATCAAGTTCTAAAGCATTTGGACAAAGGGGAGAAATATTCTACCCTGTCTCTTAAGTAACACGTGGCCAAATACTAACACACCAACATTTATTTTGGGTGGAGTAGGGGGCAAAAAAACCCTAAGAATTTACACCAGCATTGTCTTTGTTCTGCCATTGAAGATGCTGGGCTCCCAAACATTAACAAGAGCGCAACAAAAAGGTAGCTCTTATTTTTTTGGTTCAGAAAAAGTGTTTCCCCCTTTCTACAATGTGCTTTTTATTTTTTTATTTTATTTTATTTTTTTTTTTGGTTTTTCTCCGGTACCGGGAACCGAACTCATGACCTTGCGCTTGCCAGGCAGGCGGTTTTGCCGCTGAGCTAAATCCCCAGCCCTACAATGTGCTTTATTAACACAGCCCCCAACAGGTGTCTACGAGAAAAGTTCACGCATAACAAGAGAAGTGGGCACCCTGGAGACTGAGATTGAAGCCTGAGAGCTCAAAAGCAAATGCAGTGCCCGAGTCCAAATGGAGACACACAGAAGCTCGGCAATTTCTGATTCCTTCTTTCTCCTTGCTTTCTACCAAGGAGACCATGAGAAATTCAAGGTAATATCATTCCCTCAACACAGCTCATTCATGTTATAGTCCATACTCAGGAGGGTCCAGTATCCTTTAACTACCTAATGGGGTTAATGAAATTCTTTTTGCTATGTCGTGAATAATGATATATATTTCCAAATTTGTATTTTCTTAACACTATTTTGAGGGCATGTACTAGAGAGACACATTCACTGATATACAAAATCATCTTTAAACAAATATGTACTAATCAATATTTATTCAGAATATAAAGCTTTTGTAGCATGGGGTGGTGGGGTGGGGTGGCAGACAGGGAGATTCTTCCATCAGAAGGTTTTTAAGGTCAAAGCCTTTTAAAATATCATCTCACAGGAAAAAAATCTCAATAGAAGACTATTTCTGTTAGATTACCCATTACTTGTCATTGCTTATTAAAATTCAATGTTTCAATTTGAAAAAAAAAATAGTAATCACACTGTTCTCTTCCTTATAGCAACTGCAGTAAGCAGGGTGTTGTAGTATAGTATCTTTTAATAAAGAAATAGGCTGCACCCTCACTTGCATCATTCTGACAAGATTTCCTCAAAGGACTAGGTACCCTTATTGAAAGAGCACTGGACAAAGAAATTATATATTAAAAACAGTTTGAACAGAAAGCACACTCATGCATCAGTTACAAGTTTTCCAACATGTAACACTCAAAGACATAGTATGAGCCATAGCAGGAAGTTAAGACATGCTGTAGTTAATTAAGAAACCAGTGATTGGATCAGTTTGATTCTATGTAGAAACAGATGGACAGAGCTGTGTAACTTTTTTTTTCCTGCCTCATTTTCCTTTTCAATAAGTCAAATCATTTGACCATATGTTTTTAGAACAATGTACTATATTCAACACAGTTGATTATTTTCTCTAGGCAGCTGGCTACATGGTTTACCCTAAAATAAAGTTCCTTCCTTCTCCCTGCTAATACATTGTCCTCTCATAATGAAGGTGAATGAGTTTATAATATATATTAAAAGACTGGGTTTTTAAAATGTGTAATACAATATCTATTGTTAATTTTCTATCACCTTGTCTGAAACTCTGCATTGCTTCTATTGTTTGGGTGTTGTTTTATTTATGTCTGTTTATTTGTTAATATGTTTTCATTCTTTATCTTTAAAAATAAAAAAAATTTAAAACAGACTGTTTTGATTAACAGTGATATCTTCACTTATACCTCCCAAATACTATACATTTAAAGGGTTTCTAGTACAGGTACTTTCTCAGTGGTATTTCAAATTAGGTTAGACTTTGTATTACCATACTATAGGCCAAGTAGATATCATTACTTTTTAAATTAAGAAACTTACTCCAAAAAAGATTCAACAGATAAACAATTAAATTCCACAGAGAAACAAAACCCCTCTCTGCACAAGTATCGTTACACCAATCCTCTTCAGCAAAGAATTGGCTCAGAGGGTCACAGTATAAGGGGATGACATAACCACTAGTAGCTGCAGGACTTCCAATTCAGACACCTGACACCTTAACCCTCCAAAATCCATATAAATGCATACTAATATTCAGTTGTTTATTAAGTGATAGTCTCAAAGCACCCTTGTGATTATTTTAATTAAGAATTATCTGATTTATAATAAAAAGGTAACTAAGGATCCCCCAAATTTGAAGGAAAAATGAAATGATGCAAAGGTTCAAAGTGCTATAGAGAAAACAGGACATGTAGGGTTTAGGGGGCATGAAATACAGTGAGGTGATTGTGCCAGAGGAGACTAATGTGATTGCAATAGTGAGGGTGTATTGAGATGGGTGTACAAATTTAAAATCTAATTTAAACAGATAATCCTTCTAGAATTTCTTTATTTTTGTCTTTTTTGATTTTAGATTTTAAAATCTAATTTAAACAGATAATCCTTCTAGAATTTATTTTTGTCTTTTTATGATTACAGAATTTCTGGACTGTTCTTGGGTTATCCTAGTACAAATTATTCTAATCTGTGTATAACGACCACATGACTCATAGGTCTACTTGACTGGAATGTCTTTCATAAAGGTATGTTCCTTGTGAGATAGAAAACCCACCCAGATCTCCTTACCTTTTTGGTACTCTCAATGGGGCTAGATATATTGTTTGCCCATATCTAGTCTCTCTGGGGCTACTGACAAACCTGAAGCCTAAGTGGGAATCCTGCCGAAATATTTCTAAAAGGCAGCAGCTGGCCAGAGATATTTCTTTGGACCTCCTCGCTTTTCCTTTGGGCACAGAGGTTTCATATGGTCACCCAAGATACCAGATACTTTGTTTTCTCTGAGGCTATTTCTGATATGTGTTAGTGTTTGAGTCAGAAACCTGGGAACCATAAAGCCACAAGCAAATGGTCACTTTTTCATAGGAATGACCTTAAGGCTATATAACTGAACATGCTAATATCAGAAGCTGTACTTTAAAACTAAAATAGAAAGATAGCACACATAGAAATGAACAAAAAACTAACAATTGTGTTTATCAACTGAAGTTTAAGTAATACATAGCGTCTGAGGGCACTGTATATAAAATCACTGCAATGAGCTTGGAAGAACACAAGCCGTCATGAAGTTAACAAGTGTCATCTCAGAGGCAAGTACTGACATTAAAGATAGACAACCCACTCCTATAAAACAGAGCAGTGCCATCTTAGAAATTAGTGCCACATTCTAGTTATCAGTAGCCAGTGGGACTTTTCAATCATCAAATCTTGTCTTTACTCTTTCAAAATGGCTTGTTTAAATGCAACTGAAATTCCAAAGTAGATAAAATGGATTTGGAAATGTTTAACATTTGAAAGAAGGGTTTTATCATTTTGATACAAACACACACACACACACTGACTTTCTTGTTTACGTGAAAAGTACCTATAAAAATTATTAATATTTATAAAATTCACTAGGGATTTAAAATTCATGTGTCTTTCCTACCATCAACAGCAGAATCATATACTTTTGCTCACCACATTATATAACTAATGCAACTTGCTATGCCTTTTTAATACTAGATTTTATGTAAGCATACATAATGTTTACTATAATCAGTTAATTTTCATGAACACATGTGATTTCAAAAAAGAACAAGGTGGTCCTTGTAGCTTTGTGATATCATGCAATTTTATTACATATTAAATTTTTATAAATAAATGAACATTAGTATGCTCATGGGATTTGGTATCTCAAAATTTTATGAAGCACTGATCCTCAAGGTGTGGACTCCCAAAACAGCAGCATAAGCATCTTAGTGCTGGTTTGGGAGTTTGTTAAAATGCAAATACTCGATGACAATTCCAGATTTTCCAAATCAGAAACCATGGGGATGAAACTGAGAAATGAGTGTGTCGTGAGCTTTTCAGGTGATTGTGATGCATGTTAAACTTTCAGAAATATTCATTTTCTCCACACATGGTCATTTCTGGAATAGATGACTATGGGATGTCAGAAAGCAATGCCCCAAAGCACGGTATACTGACTTGCTAAATACTTTATATTACAGAAACAGTTTCAGAACTAAAGGCTCTGCCCTCCTATATCTTGTCCTTTATCTTTGTCTTTACTTCCCACCCAAAGAACAAGGAGGGCCTTTTCCCCCATTTCCCTTACCTAAGGGCAGTTCGTGCAGCACAATGCAATTGTTATAACCCCCTCCTTGGGGTACCATGGACCCATCATTAACTCTTAGGACCTCAAAGGAATGGAGACTAAGAGTGATGTCTAGCATGAGAGACTCGAGTCTAGCTTACCTTCACCTATTCTTCGGAGGGCTGAGAACTGAGAAAGCTGGTCAGAATATAGGCAAGTCTTTGTCTTCTTTTCTTCCTCCTACTTACCTACAACAGTGCCCAGCTCCTCCAAGAAACCTTAGCCCCCTATTCCTTTCGCTGAGGAAGCTGTCTAACCTTCAACTACCTGGCACTTTTTGGGTCTCCTACTTTGCGTAACTGTCACGCCTATATCAAATTTGTATGCTTTTCTCATAGTAGTCTGTCCACTGCTAATTTATTTCACAGACTCAAATCATTATCAAACCATAAGAGAATAGAAAGAGAAAGCATCTTACTCTCCCATATAATGAATCCTAGTTTTTAAAGAATAATATATAATCATTTAAATATTAAACATTTATGTGTCTAAATGTGTGCCACATGTATTGGCCAAGAGAAAGGATCACAAGTGGCTTTCATTAAAGCAAGCCCTAAAATCAAATACAAATACTTCAGATATATATTTAACTGCAAAA